ACATGACTATATATATTATCTCAGTTTTACATGAATTTTGAAAAATATAACGTTTCACTTTACAAATCATTCAATCACAAAATTCAGACATCTTAAATTTAATTTAGTATCTAAGAAAAAATTAAAAACTGACACTTATTTTGATATGAATATGATGTAATTTATTACATGTTATGTTATGTGAACTGCACGAGTTGTGTATTAATATCGATAGACGTGTTTTATATATTTTGCACAAATTATCTTTCATATAATATTTGAAATAAATTAATATAGGGAGGAGGGGAGCATTACATATTGATTTTATATTTTAATTTATTATTATTATTAATAAGCATTTTTAATTTATAAGTATCAATGAATATCTCTTACTCGTGCATCGCACGGGATTCGTACTAATTTTTAGTTTATAGGGCAAAGTTGAAGGCAAATTCTGATGGCAATAAGCACAATTATATGGGTTTTAACTTTTAATTAAGGTACAAAATAAGGTGGAGAAAAAATTCAAACTCACTCGTCCAGAATTGCACGTCCGAGGTTAGTTGTGAGGGCCAGCCGAACAGATTCCAGAGCCTCGGCCTGCAATCCCGGGCCATGAAGCCCGGAAGCAATTTTGCTTGTGATAATTCGTGTAATTTGTTCAGCAAGAGATTTGTCTGTGAAACATTGAACAAGGGGCAATCGTGCCAGTCCAATTTCAACTGCAGACGATAAATGAGTCATTGAAAGAAAGTTCAAATATTGTATAATGATAGAAGCAAAAAGTTTTGGAGATAATATTTAGGAAATATAAAGATTGAAGTGGAATTTCGTAAAATTAAAGACTTACTGAGTCATATAAGAGAGGCAGCCAAAACTGTTGAGGTGTAGAAGGGTTTCTCATTAGCTGTCACAAAAATAAAATAAAATAAAAATAAAAGATTGGTAAGATTTAATTTTAGCATTAGTTAATGTAAAAATGCAAAAAAAAAATAAAATAAAAATAAAAATAAAAAAAATACTACTGATATAAGGGCTTCTGATGCTTTTAAGGTATCATCGTTGTGATTCCTTCCTGAACTTGCTGAAGGGATTGCCTGAAATCCTTGTACCTGACAAAAACAGGGGGGAAAAATGATTAATTAATATTAGTTTTCAAAGAATATGAATGCCTCAATAGTACATCTTAAATTCTAACAGAGGGCAATTGAGAGATAGCATACTTTTTCAAGAACTCGAGGCCACCAGCAGTTCCCGGTTCATTCCCTAATAGTTCGATCATCTCTTCCCATAGCTTCCGGAACGAAGGAAAGAGATTAATTAAATGAAGAAGCATTTATACAGACATATTATTCTAGCACAATTTATTAAATCTAAGCATATTACCTTGAAACTTTCATCGGATACCGATTTTCCAACAAAATCATACAGCTGTTTGGCGATTCTGTTTAAGCGGACTTCATCCCGAGCTTGCTTAAGCCAGAAAACGGCTAAACCTTTTTTGCCATGTTTCCAGTAATGAACACCAGCAATCTGCTCGTAAGAATGCAGATTTCGGACAAAACAAACTTCTTTAAATTATGATTTTCAAAAATTGGTGACGAATCAAGTAAATGAAACAAGAAGCAGATGAAAGGAAGTTGCATCAACGAAACAATTTTTAGGGATAATTATGAGAAGTGCCCTTTAGATTTAACATAATTAAAAGGAAAAAAAAATTGAAAATAGGCCAGATAACTTTGGATATTACAAAAATCACCCTGACGTTGGATTACTCGTTAAAATGAAGTGGCAAAACTGTCATGACGAATATTTTATAAATGTGGAGGGATTTCGAAATGATTTTTCCTATTGAAGAACAAAATGAACAAATAAAATCTTAGGAACATTTTCACAAATTGAATTATCAAGGGATTAATGCAATAAATTAGAGATAATCCGGGCACTTTTTCTTAATTAGCCCTCAATTTCATGGTACATGCAGGCTAGCACATTGACCATATAAAAGAAAACATACCTTCATCATATTCGAACTAAGATAATCGAGTCCATTGAGACGGGAGATCTCTATGCTCTGCTTAAGAGAACATGCACAGTTCACTAAGAATCCCATTAATATATGCTGATGTCTTCAGCTTTTGTAACTCACCCTCTTAAAACTTGATAATATTGCACAGGCTGCTTGTACAATAAATTTTCGAGCAAGTGCAGTCCTTGCTTCATACACGATGTCAAATATATTGGAGCAATCTGAAGAACCAAAACAATAGATATACATTATATTTAGTGTGAGGTTTGTAGGTAAATGAAAATAGCCTTTGACATAACAATATCAAAAGAAAAGTCACCATAACGAAAATTACTCGAAGACAATATAACTTATCAAAATAACAAAGCCCAAATTCACAAACAATACATGCTGAAAATCTGGACCCAAAAGAAAGTGAACTGCTTACATTCCATGTGAAGGCATGAGATGACAGAATCTGAGCATAAATCAACCGGTGAAGTTCTTCCATGCAGATTCCACCAATTTTGGAGCGTTTTTCATGCAAAAGTATTTCTTCTTGAGCACTTCCAGCTGTCAACAGCTCTATAGCATGAGTTATCATCCTGTTAGAAGATTAAAAATGCAAATATAGCTTGAGTAAATGTATACTATTTTTCTCATTATTCATCAATCAAGTGTAACAATGGGTTCAGCAGATGGAGATGTCTCACCAGGGACCGAATGATCTTGAGCATTCGGCTAAAACAACCTAAATCATCAAAATAATAGTCATATTTTGGCTGCTTGGGAGGTCAGCATATATACTGCTAGGCGAATGGTTTAAATCCCTTTACCTCTGTGTTTTCTTCTAGAATCACGACTAATAAACCCATCAACTTGTGCCGAGTAGGTTTTAAATGCATGCACTTCTGACTAGGCCATACATGCTTTCTAGTCCCTGAAAACAGAAAAAATATTTGAAATATTTCCAGTTTTACTGTTCCCCTTTTACGTTCTATTCTCTGGCTAGGCAGCATAAGCTGTACAATAAAGGCTAGGAATAAATTAAAATCTAAATCAACGAAAAAGATATGTGCACTAACCACTGTGAAGGGCCTGATGTACAAAGAGTGGGACACGTAAAGTTCTAGCCAGTGATACGTTACTTTGGAGAGGACTCTAGCATTTCCCAACATGACCTGAAGCATATTTTTCAGTCCAAGTCTAGTTTGCTTATGATCACATTGAAGCCAGAATGCACTGCAGTCCAATTTTAGTAATTTGACCTCGCCATTTTTCCCATACCTAATAAATTTAAAATTATCAGAAGTAGCATAACTTAGATTAGAATATGCAATACTCCAAAGAGTATTTTACCTTCATAAACTTGGGTTTGGTATAGAAGCATTCTCCTAATTTGTCTTCCGGTAGATCAGGCCGTAAGCGGGGCATCTGTGATATGAGAAGAGCAACTGCCTCCACAAGCCCATTTTCTATATATATATATATATATATATATATAAATCCATTATATCTCAAATATGTACAGTAAAAAATTTTCAAGGATGTGATGAAGCAACATGAGGATTTACACTAAAATATAGTAACATATAGCAAAGTTTAACAGACCTCACGAGTTCCCAGCTGATCGAATAAATAAGATCCATGCAAGCACAACAGTTTTACCTGCAAAGATATATGTTCACTCAGTAAGCAGTTTACATGCAATGCTAAATTAACTTTGATAAAGCTAAACAATGGCTTTCTTTTTTATCTTGTATGCAAAAGTTGGAACTTACAACAACATCAAGCCAGCCTACTGCTAAGGCAGATAAAAGAACTTCCCAGTAATCTGAATCATTCTCAACTGCCTGAGTGAGACAATGAAAAAAATTAAACACTGACTTAATAGTTAACGATCTAGATGATATTGTCAAAAGAAAAGCTAGAAACTCAATGTTTAAATGAGAATGTTATGAATAGAAAATTTCACTCTAGCTTCTTGCAACACCATAACGTAGATAATCCAAAAATAAGTGGATTTTCGCCGCCATCAAAATGTCAATATATATGTCAGGTTTTGAACCATAAATTTCTTCCAACTAAAGCTATAAAAATAAAATAAAAAAATGAGGAACAATGGCAATAGTTCCCCTATAATTCAATGCTGCATAGAAGTTGCAATTTTATAGCCTTGTGCCAGTATAAATTTTGACTGCTGCTTCATTATGGGGTCAGATAACGGTTTGTACAAACCCAAGAAGCCATGGAAATTCCGAGCACATTTACGATTTCAGTAACTGAAATATCAAACTTAACAATTGAACAATATGACAAAACCTGGACAGTGACAAGCTCTTCTTGGAAAGCCATAAGTTCCTCATGGACAGTTGACTGACTTTTCGAGAACAGGCAATCAAAATTCTGTATAAAAGAACACGCATTACTATTTCAAGGGTCAAAACAATGACAAGTGAATGGGAAAAAGGTCAGCATTTGAAAAGTTCATACAGCTAAATGAAGAAGGCGTTCAGGGATCCAAGTCTGAGATTTCTTGTCTGCATAGAACATTTCCATCAGCTCCCAGGCAGCTTTAACAGACGTTGGCTCCTCAGCTTTCTTAGTATGCCCGCAAATTTAGAGGTTAAAGGATGAAGATTCTGAACGGTCAGATAAGCAGCATCAATACCGAAATCAAAACCAAAACTATGTTGTACCTTCAATATTGTTTTGGGGTCTTCAAACATTGAAGAAACAGATGGCTTTGAATTATCGAGAAGATCATTTATTTCCTTGTTGTACTCCATCACATGTTCCGACCTGTTGGGTTAACATAAAGTTTACTATCTCAAATAAATGTATTTTTATTATTTATTCTTTTCCTAAAGTAGTTATTCAAGAAATCATTTGGAATGCCTATTGACTAATGAAGAGTGAAAACTATGAAAAGTTGTTAGCAACTAAAGAAAACAGAGCAACCTATACAGAGACTGCAGCTACCAAAACAAACAAGAAACTGCATAAACTAGCATAAGTAATAAATACAAACAGAAATTGAAACTCCACATACCACCATTATTACTTCACGTTATGAATAACTACGTCATCATTCTACGCCAACCTAAAGCTCAATAAAATTTTCCTAGTAGTTTTATGCATATTGTACATTGTATATCATTTTAAAAGCATTAAAATGTACCAGATAAATAAGCCATAAAAAACTGCAAAAATGTAATTCTTTTTCGAAAATATTCATCAAGAACCCTATGGCTAGAACTGCTGTGTCCACGAAAATTTAATCGAAGTGCACAACTCTTGGTCCACACACAGAGAGAAAAACATAGCATTGACAACATAGTTGATATCCCATCCCCACATACATCTCATCCAAATTATACACCACGAAGATTAATCAAACTCTTCAAATCAATATTACCTCAGCTGCCGAAAAAACAAAGCAGGGAAAAAATGAAGGTAATAACTAGGGAGCTCGAATCAAATACCAGTCTTTCTTGTACTGCATCGAATCAATTGAACTATTTCGGCTCTGAAGAAGCGCGAAGGGGACGACCGAGCCGTACGCAATCCTCCGCCACTGCGCGCCGGAAAATTCTCCTCCGTCCGCATCGCTGAGCTTCACTTCCGCCACTTCGTCTCCGGGTGCATCATCCGAACCAGCGTCCTCGGGCTG